CCTGCACGCCGACCTCCTGTGGGTGCGCCTGCATGGCCTGCAGCACTGCCAGGGCCCCGCCGTGCTCCATGATGGCCTGGCTGTTCTCCGGCTTCCGCAGGGCCAGGACGCACAGTGCGGCACAGCTCTGCTCGCACACCTGCCGCAGACGTGGTGTCAACGGGCTCGGGGTCCAGGGCGGGGAGGAGGGGGACACCGCGGGGGGGGGTGTGGGACGTCCGGACCAGGCACTCGGGCCGTGGTTGGGATCCGGGATGCCAGCGGTGCCCAGGCCGGTGTGGGACTGGTCCCTGGCGCCACCCCCTTTCCCCGGGCCCAGCTGGGTGCCGTACCTGGGGGCTGGCCAGGTGCTGGGTCATGGCGGCCACGATGCACTCGGGGCCGCCGGCGCGGACGATGGCGTCCTTCACGTCGTCGTTGCCCGCGATGGCCCGCAGGGCGCTGAGCACCTGCTTCACCAGGTCCTGTGCGGGGCGGGGCCAGGCAGCAGGGCGGGGCCTCGGTGAGGGACCCAGGGGGCGAGACCCGGGGGGCGGGGCCTGTGAGGGGCGAGGCCTGTGGAGGGCCGGGAGAGTGATGGGAAGGGGTGTGGAGGGAAGGGTGGGCTTCTCCCACCTGATGGTCGCTGCAGCTGGCCAGCAGGGTCACCAGCACGTCGAGGCCACCCAGGTCCACCACCTCCTGGCAGAACTCGTTGCGCACGGCCAGGCGGGACAAGGTGCTGCACAGCTCGCTCAGGACGCCAGGGTTGTCTGGAAACGCTGCGGGGCAGAGGCGAGGTCAGGCCTGGAGCCCTGGGGCCACGGGGCCTGCGGTGTGGCCCCAGGGTGGGGGGACACACGTGGGGGGGCTGCACACAGCCCGGGGGGGGGGAGTACACATGTGGGTTGGGGCTGCACACAGCACCCGGGCCATCTTCCTGCCCTGAAATAAGGCTTTCCCAGGGCACACTCGGGACCTGCCTGAATGAGGCACAGCTTGGAGGCCGGGGGCAGAGGCTGCTCAGAGGGGCGCTGAGGTTTACTCAACACAGCTTGGGACGTCCCACCAGCCCCACTGCGGGGTGCTGTCAGGGGGCTCCAGTGGTCCCAGGTGCCCCCCCCCCCCCTTGCGGGAACACGCTTTTTTCCAGTGACACTAGCTTGAATCCAAGACAAAAGCCTCAAGCCTGCTAGCGTGCTCCCCCTTCAGGGCAGTCTCCAGCCCTCGGCTTGCATTGATTTTGAGATAGGATGTTATCAAGTAGCCCAGTAGTTTTGCACTTGAGGTCTTTCTGTCTCAGTCTCTCAAGTATCTGGGATTACAGGTGTGCCCCAAATCAAATATATTTGGGGAAGACATATGGAGCTAGTCTGCCGCTGGGGAAGTGTGGCTGATTTCAAGCCAAGGCCTCCAAGAGTCCCCTCCCCATGTCCCCCCTCTCCAGCAACTGCGGAGGCTGAGGAAGGGGAGGGGAGGCCCATCCCCCTGTCAGGGGAGGGGGGAGGGGAGGGCCATCCCCCCGTCAGGCCACCAGGCAAGCAGAGAAGGCAAGTGCTTCCAGCATCTTCTGTGAGCTTGCCCTGAGTCAGGCCTCTGCTGGGGTGTGGCGGACGGGAAGGGTGGGAAGCTTCTGGGGAAACCCTGCAGCAGGCATGTGTGCCAGTGTGTGTAGGCATGTGTGTGCCATGCCGGGAGAAAAACACAACCCGGCATTCCTATTTTCTCTTTGGGGCGCACCCTTTCCCGGTCTTCCCCAAGCAGGGCCTGGGGTGGGGCCAGGCCTGTGCACACTGGCGGCCTCGGCTGGGAGCTGTGTGTGGTGGGGCAGGACTGAGCGGGAGGCGGCCACTGAAGCCGGGAGCCTCCGGTGCCTGGGTCCGTCCTCCGTCCAGACTCTACTGCAGCCAGGAGCTGCTTATCCCGTGAGCTACGCATGCGCTTACCCAGCTCACCCCGGGGTCACTCGCGGGGCCTGCCCGCCTGCCCCGTGGCCTCTCACCCTTGGTGGCCTCGATGAGCACCTTCAGGCCTCTGTTTTCCTGCACAATCTTCTTGGCGTGGTCGTGGGCCTGGCCAAAGAGCGCCCGGACGTCGTCGTCAAACGTCATGACGCGCAGTGCCCAGCAGGCCTCGCGGACCACGTCGGCGTGGCGGGCGTGGCGGGCGATGGCCCCGGTGAGCAGGGGCAGCACGCCAGCCTTCACCAGGTCCTTACGGTTCTCCTCGTGCTTCAGGCAGGCCAGGCGCACGCAGCGGATCCCGGTGCAGGTCAGGTCCGTGGAGTCCGCGTTCCCCGCCAGCGTGGCCACCAGCAGCTGCAGGCCCTGGGCGTCCAGCAGGTCAGGCTGGCCTTCGATCAGCGCCACCAGGGCGTGCAGGGCCTGGAGCAGGAGGTCGGGGCCGCGGGCAGAGGCCAGCTTGCAGGCAGCCAGGAGCACAGGGTAGGCCCCCTTCTGGGCGGCCAGGAAGCGGCAGGCTTTGTGCTGCAGGCATTGCTGGCGGAAGTTGGCAAGGCGGGCTCCCAGGTCCTGGGGACAGGAGCTGGTCATGGACTCCTGCAGGGCCTCCAGGGCCTGGAGAGGAAGAAGCCGTGGGGTCAGCGAGGCCCAAGGTGCCGTCCCCTCCCCAGGGAGAGTACAGGAACTGGCACAAGTTCCAGCCCACAGCGTCTGCACCGCACACTTTGGTGTTGTACAGGGAGGCTTGAACTCGGCCTCACCCACTTGCTTGGCTTTTTTGCTCAAGGCTGGTGCTCTACCAGGTGAGCCATAACTCCACATCTGGCTTTTTTTTTGGCTGGTCATGGGTCTTGAACTCTGGTCCTACGCGCTGTCCCTCAGCTCTTCAAGCTCAAGGCGAGAGCTCTACCACTTGAGCCACAGCACTACTTCTGGTTTTCTCTGCGATTCTCCGATCTCAGCCTCCTGAGTAGCTAGGGTGATAGGCGTGAGCCACTGGCACCCAGCTACTTCTGGCTTTTTGGTGGTTAAATGGAGATAAGACTTTTCCTGCTTGGGTTGGCTTTGAACCGCAATCCTCAGATCTCAGCCTCCTGAATGACTAGACATGTGAGCCAGAAGGCAGCGCTCTTTTCTGAGACAGGTTCTGTGCAGCGCAGGCTGGCGGGCACACGTGACCTCCCGCCTTGTCTCCCCAGTGCTGGGGTCACAGGAGCAACCACTGAACCCCGAGGGGGTTCTTCCCTCCTTTCTCTTGTGTTGCTGGGAGGCCGCATAGGGCCTGGGGCACCGCCAAGCTCCAGCCCAGCCCTCTCTTCTGTTTGGAGAGTCTGTAGCAGCAGAGGCTACACACAGGGGAAGAAGGGCCTGGTGTCTCAGTGCCCCCTGAGACTCTGGGAACCCAGGGCCACTGGACACTGTGGTCCCGGCTTCCCTGAGACCAGCAGATGAACTGCCCCTCAACGCCGAGGTAACTACACAACCCAAGATACAGCAGTAACAATGAGCGGAGGGTTGGGGGGCACCCTGGGGCTCAGGGCTGGCCCAGTGGGCAGTGTGAGGCCTTGTGTCAAACAATGAAACAGAGAGAGAGGGAGGAGAGAGGGCTGGGCACTGGTGTATCACACCTGTCATCCTAGCTACACAGGAAGCTGAGATCTGGGGATGGAGGTTCGAAGCCGGCTCAAGCAAGAAAGAAGAAAGTCCACAAGACCCTTATCTCCTGTTAACCAGCAAAAATCTAGAAGTGGAGCTGTGGCTCAAGTGGTAAAGTGCCCAGGCCCTGAGTTCAAGCCTCAGGATTGACCAAGTGCATGCGTGCACGTGTGCACACGCACACGTTCACACACACACTGATATGGGTAAAGCCAGGTTTTGTCGTATGACTGGGGGGGGACCCGGGGACCCCGGCCAGGCGACCTGGGGCTCAGCCATTCGGGTGCCTTCCTGCACTGCCCCACACAGTGACCCTCAGCAAGGCCACTGACCTCCGGGGGGCCCTGCCTTGCTCATCTGGGGTCCCTGGAGAGTGCGTGCCGGCTCCCCTCCTTCTTTCCCATCTCTGGATGAAAGCCCACTCACAGATATTTCCACACTAAGGGGCCAAGTTCGGGAACAAGTGACAGCTCAGGTGTGGCCCATCCCGCCAGGCATGCCCACCCCCACTCCCCGCAGAACGGGCTGCAAGCTCTGATCGCGGAGTCCCACGCCGAGGCCAGCTGCTCTCCAGTGTGGATGTGGAGATGCGGCTGGGCAGGCTGAGCTCTGAGCGAGAGGCGGGGCCAGACCCGGGGGCCAGGGAGACCTGCAGGACGCCGTGCGTGGGCTCCATGGCTCCGTCTGCTGGGGTTTTCAGTGCAGTCTTGATGATGGTGCTCAGGTCCACCCCTGCAGGAAATGAGGACACCAGACACCAGTCTGTGCAGGTTGCTTCCACTGGAGCCTTCCTTCTAGGGGCTCCCACTCCCATCCCCCTGGGGCTGGAGCACAGCGGGTACAAAGCGGCCCTTGGCAGACAGCAGGCCGGGTGGGGGCAGTCCGTTCCTGGGGCTGAGAGCAGGGGTGGGGGGTGACACCCAGCCTTGACCTCAGAGCTCCCGCCCCCTGTGGCCCAGCCCCTCGGACTGCCGCACCCAGCCCTGTCCAGGGTAAACTGCCCTCTGTGTCTAGGGCCAGCTCACTGCCTGGGGGGTGGGGGGGGGCAGGAACAGGTTCCTGGAAGCCCATCCCCCCTGCCAGCAGTGCCAGGTGAACTGCATTCCCTGCCTAGGCCATGGCACCCTCAGTCTCTCCTGCTGGGCCTGGTGTGAGCTGCTGTCTGTCCGTCTGCACAGTGGCATGCCCTCCTTGCTAATCCGAGCTGCAGCTGGGTGCAGGTGGCAGGGAGGCAGGCGGTGCTGGGTGCCAGGCCCAGCAAAGGCCCCTTTGGGGATGTGACTGCACACATGAGCAGGGCCAGCTCTGCCAATGTCTCAACGAGGGGCCAGAGGGTGGCATGGGTGGGGTGAGGCTGCGGGGTGCGTGGGGCCCACGGCGCTGCTCACAGCATGGGGGGTGTCACCCCACCCACCCTGGGACTCAAATTGCTCCACAGCCTCTTTCACGGCCTCCTCAGGGTCCATGCTGAACTCCTCCACGTTCTCCCGCACTGCCGCGTCGAAAGTGTCCTGCGTGATGCGTTTACAGGCCATCCTGCCCCTGTGTGCGAAGCTGGGAGGGGGGAGAGGTCTGTCATGGGGGGGGGCAGCCATTCCCAGGCTCCAGTCACCAGCCTGGGAGCCCCTGCCAGGGGCCGACTCGATGACTGTTTAGATCGGGGGGAAGGGACTCTCCCAACATCACTCAGGCCTCCAAGATGAAGGACTCACGGGCAGTGACACACACTGGGCAGATTGAGGCAGGAGTGTGGCTAGGGACAGGCCAGCCTGGGCCACACAGGGAAACCTTATCTCAGTAAAAACAGGTAGTCTGGGCACTCTCCGGTGGCTCACACCTGTCGTCCTAGCTCCCCAGGAGGACGAGCTCTGAGGATGCCGGTTCAAAGCCAGCCCAGGCAGGAAGGTCTGAGACTCCTATCTTGAATAACCACCAGAAAATGGGGAGTAAAGTTGTGTCTCAAAGTGGTAGAGTGCCAGCCTGAGCACAGAAATCAGGGACAGAGCTGGGCGCCGGTGGCTCACACCTGTAATCCTAGCTACTCAGAAGGCTGAGATCTGAGGATCATGGTTCAAAGCTAGCCTGGGCAGGAAAGTCCATGAAACTCTTATCTCCAATAAACCGCTAGAAAATCGGAAGTGGCTCTGTGGCTCAAGTGGTAGATTGCTCACCTTGAGCTGAAGAGCTGAGGGACAGCGCCCAGGCCCAGAGTTCAAGCCCCAGGACCGACCAAAAAAAAAAAAAAGAAAAGAAAGCAGGGACAGTACCTGGGCCCTGAGTTCAAGCCCAAGAACCAGCAAAATAAATAAGTAAATAAATAAGCAACATGCATGTCAAATCCCCTATGGGTGGAGGTGAAGCTAGGGATGTAGCTGGTAGTGAGTGCACACTCTGGAATATTCCTCCACGGTGAGAAGAATGGAACACGGGCGAGATGTGCTGAGTGACACCAGACAGGCACAGAGGCTGTGCAGCTGATGGGAAATGCCCAGTGGCTTCACGGTGCTCGGGGAGGAGGGGTAGGGACCACTGACGGCGTCTCTTTTGGGGAGATGCAAATGTCTTTGGTTGCATCCACGGTGTGCGCAGATACAAATCGGTCCTCAGCACTAGTACAGGTGAAAAGCCCAACAGAGGGGCAGCCCTCCTCACCTCAGTCGCTTTTAACACTTTGAGATCTGTTTACCACAGGAATGCAAGCACTGCATTGAGAATCCACCTCTGGCAGGGCACCAGTGGCTCATACCTATCATCCTTGCTACTCAGGAGGCTGAGATCTGAAGATTAAGGCAGAAAAGTGTGAAAGATTTATTTATTTTTTTGTCCTTTGTGGGGCTCAAACTCTGGACCTGGGTGCTGTTCCTGAGCAATTTTGCTCAACGCAAGGGCTCTGCCACCTGAGCCGCAGCGCCACTTCTGGTTTTCTGGTGGTTTACTGGAGACAGGAGTCGCACTAACTTTCCTGCCCTGGGCTGGCCTTGAACTGCGGTCCTCTGATCTCAGCCTCCTGAGTAGCTAGGATATCAGGTGTGAGCCACGGGTGCCCGGCAGCAAGACTCTTACCTCCAGTTAACCGGCAAAAAGCTGGAAGTAAGCTGTGCCTCAAGTGGTAGAATGCCAGCCTTGAGCAAAAAAAGCTAAGGGACAGTACCCCGGCCCTGAATTTAAATCTTAGTATTGGCGTGCACGTGCACACACACACACACAACAACAACAACAACAATAACAACAGTGAAAATGGAAAGACAGTGTATTTCTTCCCTGACAAGCTTCCTTACGGCCTTCACCACTCAGGTGAAGGACGGTGGAGGGGGGTCCCGGGGTGACGTCTGACCAGGCTGCTGGGTGGCTCGGGCTCGCCCTCTCCCGTGACCCCGCCCGGCACGGCGACGCGCCCCGGGTCGGCCTGGGCCCGGCCTCCC